GGAGGAGGAGGGGGAGGAGGAGGAGGAGGAGGAGGAGGAGAAGGAGGAGGAGGAGAAGGAGGAGGAGGAGGAGAACCCAGACCTCCGACGAATATGATGTTTTCAATCCCGGCGGCTTCCCTCGACTTCGGCATCCAGGGGCCGCCTTCGGGCCCTGGGACCATCGAAAAATGGATCCTGGACGCAGAAGTGCCCCTGCGGAAGGGGCCGGGACCTCTAGGGCCGCGGACTGAAACATCACATCGGCGGACGTCTGGTCGGGGAGACGTAAGACTCGGGTACGGGGGACTCGGGTAAGCCTGACAGAGCCATCATGGAAATGACGAGGCCCCATCTGAAATTCGACGCGAGCTCCCGCTGCAGACATCCCACGAAAATCGGACCGTCGAAATCCAGGACGCGCTCTTCAAAAAACTTCGGCAAACCCGAGCTCCAGCTCACTCGAGCCTTACGCTTCCCCGATCTGGGGAGGAGGAGGCAGCTGGGCTCTCAGAAATCAGAAGCCGCGTCAGCAGCAGCCCCTTGCCCCGCAGTCTCGGAGGAAGCGCTTGAGCCAGCGCGGCTGCAGCCGACGAGGGGGGGCGTGGGGTGGGAGGGGCGGGTGCGGCGAGGGTCCGGGGGCGAGAGGGAGCGGCCACAGGAGTGAGAGGGGTGAAGGGTTTGGGGGCGTGCGGGGAGGCGACGGGGCGGCTGGGGGGGGGGGGAAGAGGGAGGGAGGGAGGGAGGGAGGGCGGATGGGGGCACGGCTGGGATGTGTGTGTGTGTGTGTGTGTGTGTGTGTGCTTTTTTGGAAGCACCAAGCGCGTGGGTGACCCCCTCGCCTGCGCGACCCCCTCTCCAGCGGAGACCGCTGGAGAGCCCCCTGGGCCTCGCGAGGGGTGCTCCGGATGCCGAGGGGGTCTCCCTGGGAATCGCAGCGGCGACGCGTGGGGGATGCAGCGGCGACGCCGGCGTGGAGCCGTCGGGCTCCACATCGAGCCGCATCGCCGATGCATCGGCGATGCCTCGGCGATGCGGCGCGATCCTCCGACCCCATCTGCTCTGACCCCACCTAGGCTTGAGTCGGGCCTGTCCCTCTACAGGGGGAATGTCCAGGAATAGTTAAAAAATAACCTGGGGGCGTGTTTTTCACTATTTTTGACATCTTTTTGGGGGTATTTTTAAGTATTTTTTATTTTTCGTCTAAAGTCGGCCTGTAGGGGGACATGCCCGGCCTATCCTAGGAAGCCTAGATTCGGGGCTTCGACAGCAGAGGCCGCTCCGCCGGTCCGCGGTGCAGAACATGCCTGCCCCGACCGCCCGCCTCGCCCCGCTGGCCCAGGACCCCCACCCAGACGCTCGTCGTCGCCTGCCTGCTTCTCCTTACCTCCTTCTTGGCGGCACGCACGGGAGGGTAGGGTATGAGGGAATGGGGAAGGCTTCCTAGAAGGAGGCGGCTCCTTAAAAGGCGCCGGCCCTACATCTACAGACGAAGCCCGCGCCTTCTAAGAGACAGGGGTGCTTCTAAGAAGCCTCACCCCCTCCCCCGACCCCCCTCTGCGCGTGGCTGACACTCCTCCGCCCGCATCTACCTCCTAGCTGCCCCCAGACGCAACACGAAACACGTAGCGTGTTGACACGGAGGTCAACACGGATATTGAACAAGTACGTTTGGCGCGACACGTTCGCCAAAACGTGGAATACGGTACGTGCTGCGTTTCAACACGGGCGTATCAGGGCAGCTGAGATCCACTCAGATCCCATCAAGGAGGCCCAGATACTAGCCAAGCGTGTTCCACTACTCGCAAGGAGTAACTGCTCGCAGATGGACTGGATCCGCCGCGGGGGCCCAGGATTCACTACGTCGAGGCAGACATGTTTTTTCCCAACCATCCTGTGGTGTTGGGTCCTCGTTTTGAAGAGACGGTGGCCCGCGTCTCCTCTCCTCTCCTCTCCTCCTCCTCCTCTCCTCCTCCCCTCTCCTCCCTGCGAATCACCCACCCAGTACAACGTTTCGTGGCCCCATAGGGAGCTCCATCGAAGGCCCCAGTGGCCGCGTTCGCATGGCGGCCCAGCCCCATTTCGGCATACCCCTCACGAGGATCGTGGCCCCATAGGGAGCTCCACCGAAGGCCCCAGTGGCCGCGTTCGCATGGCGGCCCCGCCCCATTCCGGCATACCCCTCACGAGGATCGTGGCCCCATAGGGAGCCCCACCGAAGGCCCCAGTGGCCGCGTTCGCATGGTGGCCCCGCCCCATTCCGGCATACCCCTCACGAGGATCGTGGCCCCATAGGGAGCTCCACCGAAGGCTCCAGTGGCTGCGTTCGCATGGCGGCCCCGCTGCATTTTGGCGCACCTCTCACGAGGATCGTGGCCCCATAGGGAGCTCCACCGAAGGCGCCAGTGGCAGCGTTCGCATGGCGGCCCCGCCCCATTTCGGCAGACCCCTCACGAGGATCGTGGCCCCATAGGGGGCTCCACCGAAGGCCCCAGTGGCCGCGTTCGCATGGCGGCCCCGCCCCATTTCGGCATACCCCTCACGAGGATCGTGGCCTCATAGGGAGCTCCACCGAAGGCTCCAGTGGCTGCGTTCGCATGGTGGCCCCGCCCCATTTCGGCGCACCCCTCACGAGGATCGTGGCCCCATAGGGAGCTCCACCGAAGGCCCCAGTGGCTGCGTTCGCATGGCGGCCCCGCCCATTTCGGCCACACCCTCACGAGGATCGTGGCCCCATAGGAATCTCCACCGAAGGCCCCAGTGGCAGGTTCGCATGGCGGCCCCAGGCCATTTCGGCGCACCCCTCACGAGGATCGTGGCCCCATAGGGAGCTCCACCGAAGGCCTCAGTGGCAGCGTTCGCGTGGCGGCCCCGCCCCACTTCGGCGCACCCCTCACGAGGATCGTGGCCCCATAGGGAGCTCCACCGAAGGCGCCAGTGGCAGCGTTCGCATGGCGGCCCCGGGCCATTTCGGCACACCCCTCACGAGGATCGTGGCCCCATAGGGAGCTCCACCGAAGGCCCCAGTGGCTGCGTTCGCATGGTGGCCCCGCCCCATTTCGGCGCACCCGTCACGAGGATCGTGGCCACACAAGGAGCTCCACCGAAAGCCCCAGTGGCAGCGTTCGCATGGTGGCCCCAGGCCATTTCGGCAGACCCCTCACGAGGATCGTGGCCCAATAAGGGAGCTCCACCGAAGGCCCCAGTGGCAGCGTTCGCATGGCGGCCCCGGGCCATTTCGGCACACCCCTCACGAGGATCGTGGCCCCATAGGGAGCTCCATCGAAGGCCCCAGTGGCAGGGTTCGCATGGCGGCCTCGGGCCATGTCGGCACACCTCTCACGAGGATCGTGGCCCCATAGGGGGCTCCACCGACGGCCCCCAGTGGCAGGGTTCGCATGGCGGCCTCGGGCCATTTCGGCACACCCCTCATGAGGATCGTGGCCCCATAGGAGCTCCACTGAATGCGCCGATGGCAGTCTCCCTCATGGCTCTCAGAACCCTTTCCTGCTTCTGCTCTTCGGTCAGGCGGGCGCCGTCCTCGTGGTCGTCGGCGCCCGCGAAGACGGCCACAAACGTGTCCCTGAGCATGTCGGGCTCCGGCGGGAAGCCGTGGCCACATAGGGAGCGCGGGCGAAGATAGTTTTCACAATTGCTGTATCCACAATTGCGTATGGTTGGGTCCCTCACCAGGCTAATTTTTGTTCGGACGCTTGCGGTTACGCACTTTGCGAATAGTGGAGCGCGCCCTGGCCGGGTGCTGGAGGAGGAGGAAGAGGAGGAGGAGGAGGAGGAGGAGGAGGAGGAGGGAGGAGGAGGGCGAGGAGGAGGAGGAGGAGGAGGAGGAGGAGGAGGAGGGAGGAGGAGGAGGAGGAGGAGGAGGAGAGGAGGAGGAGGAGGAGGAGGAGGAGGAGGAGGAGGAGGGAGGAGGAGGAGGAGGAGGAGGAGGAGGAGGGGAGGAGGAGGGAGGAGGAGGAGGGAGGAGGAGGAGGAGGAGGAGAGGAGGAGGAGGAGGACGGAGGAGGAGGAGCGAGGAGGAGAGGGAAGGAGGGAGGAGGGAGGAGGGAGAGGAGGGAAGGAGGGAGTGAGGGAGGAGGAGGAGGAGGAGGAGGAGGAGGAGGCGGACAAACTAGGTGCGCTCGCGTCATATCTGACATCCTACCCTTCCCTCCCATCCCTTACCATGGCGCAAATCCCCTCTCTACTCGCACAGTCGGATGTCGAGCAGGGCAATGATCCCGAAAGGGTACGTGATGCATTGTAGAGCACGGC